TCCTCCTGACCCCCACCCTGCAGATATTTAGAGGCATTTCTGAGGTCCCCTCTCAGCCTTCTCTTCTCCAGGCTGAACAAGCCCAGCTCCCTCAGCCTCTCCTCGTAGGAGAAATGCTCCAGTCCCCTCATCATCCTCGTAGCCCTGTGCTGGACTCTCTGCAGTATCTTTGTTCCTGTAGGAAATTTACTGAAATATTGCACGCTTAGATTTGAGGGCAGAGTATGCCCGTGTAATTCATAAGCCCTTAGATCCCTCTAATAACACATAAGTAACATTTTTAGTTTTGATGTACGATACAAATTGGTACGAGGACAGTAATTTAATTCCGTCCTTTTACTGGAATATCTGTGCCTATGTTAACGCTGGACCTGATTTATGCGGATCGCAAAGGTTCTGTAATAGCTGCTAGCCGGTGTCGCTTTGTGAAGACACGCGGTGGCCTCTCGGAGCTCCTGCTATCAGGCTGGTGCACTTTGCTCCACTCCAAGCCCATAGCAGTTCCCTGAAATAAGCTGAGTGAGTAATATAGGTGGCAAACTTTAGCACAGGAGGAATACTTAAGTCCGCATTCATTTGATTGAAATGGGGAGAAAGCTGCTTCCAGGCATGCTTTCACCTTTCGGTGATATCTGAGTGAATCTGGAGGCGCAACCAAGGTACAGCGATTTTTTCCTAATGACTTAGTGATTATCTTTATATTGCTGCTTACCTAATATAAAGATAGGCAGTACATGAATATGTGTTTTCCTTGTGTATTAGTTTCATCTTGATAAAATAGGTAGCTAAGTAATGATCTTCTTAACCGAAAGGAGTGGGGCAGCATTTTAACGACACCACGGCTACGTGCAGATCCATAACTGACGCCCGACTGCAGCTTCTAGGAAGGATTCTTCGTAGCACGTGGACGTCCTCTTTGTTTGCTTAAGATTTTGATGAAGTTGAATACGTATATGAGTCTTATTTTTTTATGTCATAGCTAGAACGGAGGCTGCTAGGAAGGAGAGTCTGCTAATGTTCTTGACACCAAGATGCATCTATTACCAAGATGAAGCATCTCTTAGGAATATCAGTACCACGAGCTGAAAATGGAATACATGTAGGGA